GCGTGGTGGAGCAGATGGTGTACAGTACAGCCACCAGCAGACAGCCCCCCTCCCCCCCCCCTGTCAGCCTCCCTCCTGCCTACCTGCTGATGTAGGGCTTGATGCCCTCTCCTGTGATGGGGGCCATGGACATCGTCATTGGTTCTGGTGTGGACAGCCAGTAGGAGTAGTCGTTGCGAGAGGCAAAGTTGCAGACGTTGTTGATGTTGCAGAACATAAAGGGCATTGTGGAGAACCTGCGTAGACAGCTGCCAGCAGTTCCTGCAGGACGGTTTGGAGGAAGGTGTTAGAAAAACATCTAAACCTGATTGAAGCAACAAACTTTCAACATTTGGAAGTCTGAGGGAGCCGACGTACCCAGGTCTTGTCCGTGTGCTCTCTCGTTGCCCTGCACGTACAGCAGGGAGTATCCGTCATAGATGAGGCCTGTTCCTTCAGGACAATAGGGAACTTCAGTGGTCTGGCTGTGTCTGGTGATGAGGAATCCATGGGCTGCTGAGGCAGTTCCTGGGAGACCAGGAAGACCCTGCGGACCATCAGAACCAGGAGGACCTTGGAAACCTCGCTGACCTGGAAGAAAATCAAAAGGCTTTTTAGAAACAGGAACCGTTGCCAGGTTCTTTGAGTTACAAAGTTTTTACATACCAGGTTGACCAGCAGGTCCTGGATCTCCCTTTCTACCAGCTGGACCAGTGAATCCAGGAGGACCCTCAGGTCCTGGGTCACCAGGGTTACCGGGTTGACCTGCACACCAAGCATGCAGCATTGTTAGAGTTTTCTATTTAGGCTGGATTTAGGATGGAGGGGAACTTGTCTGAGGAACCAATGAGATGTTGAGTATCCACCCACCTGGGAGTCCTTCACGTCCAGGAGAACCAGGTGGTCCACGAGGACCACCTTGACCCTGAGGACCAGGAGGACCTTGTTCACCCTTAACAACTATTGGAGCTGGGGCAATACCGGGGTCACCAGGGAGTCCTGGAGATCAAAAGTAAGAAGTTTGAATAATTTGCCCGAGGTGCTCATACAGATCTAGGTTGGTGGTAATTTGGAAATAGGAGATTTCACACACCAGGAAGTCCAACATCTCCAGGGTCTCCTGGAAGACCACTTCCACCGGGCAGGCCGGAATCTCCCTTTGGTCCTGGCATTTCATAAAATAAATATGTTGAATATTTAAAATGAAATCCTCATTTTGGTATAACAATGACAATGTTGGTACACCATGGTTGACTCACCAGGAAATCCAGGAACGCCAGGAAGACCAATGTCTCCCTTAAGACCAGGAGAACCTGGGAGACCAGAGGGCCCCTAGAGAGGACAAAGGTTGATTTTTTTAAAATCCCAGCAAAGAGTCAAATGTTTCACACATCTTAACCAGATCAGAGATCTTTTTAAACCTTTGTCCCAAACCAAAGTCCAGAGTGAAAATCTGTGGTTTTAGCTCACAAAAGCAGGACCTGTTGATCCATTTCTGCCTCCATCACTCAGTTCAAACGTGTTATATGTTTATGTTCACTGTTGGAAATCCTTTTCTGAGATAAACTTCAGTGACACATACTGACCACAGGAGGCAGCAGTGGACCAACAGCTCCTGTCAGCTAAAATCACTGTTTTTCTCTATGGGCTTTGGTATGGTAGAGTGAGTGGTTAATACGTTTCCTAAGTAACTAGAACAGAACACATCTGGATCTTACAGGAAATCCTGGAACTCCACTTTCTCCTTTCTGTCCTCCATAACCTGGCTGCCCTGGAGAACCGGGAATTCCTTTCTCGCCTTTGACGCCGCCACTTCCTTGGGGTCCACGTGGACCCTCTGGGCCAGCGGGGCCTTCAGTCAGAGACGGGACACAGTCAGTGGTGAGTTACAGCAAAATACACAGGGATTTTACCTGGGCTGGAATCAGTTTATATTCCCATGAAAATTCTCCTGCCCCCTGCTGGTGCTTTTGTAATGTACAGTATATCTGTAAAATGTACACAAGTAAAACTTGGAATAAAACTGATTCCAGTCTTTTTAAACAAATGCACAACAAACAATAGGGAAATAAACCAGAAAGAGTCGTGATCACATCCTTGAAGAGTAACAGCAGATCAAAAAGTAAATATTTATTCCATTTCACAAACAGTATAAAATTAAAATCATCAATCCTCTGGAGTCTGACCTGGAAGACCTGGGATTCCCAGAATTCCGGGTAAAGAAGAATCCACGTTGGTGAGGAGAAAAAATAGGAAAGATTTTTAGTTTTAGAAAAAAGAAGAGAAACAAACAGTCTTTTCACTTCTAGACGCCATAAATGAACCTGTAGTTGTTTAAAAAAACCTTTGAGGTTAAAATACATATCATGTATTATTTATTTAACTTGGAATTTAACTTCTTTAGATGTCTGCATTTAAATAGTTTTAAATGTAACATTATTTAAATGTGATGAAAACAGTATTTTTGAATCAATATCAATATTTAAATAAGGATTGAACATTTTTTTAAATGTAATAAAATATCATAGTCATAGTCAATTAATTTTAGACATAACATTGGTCAATGTAATTTAATTTACAATATATGTATATTTCTAGTTAACTTAGATAAAATAAAGTTTGTTAATATAAGAAAATCTAATTTGAAAAGAGATGTGTGTTTGAATTTAGCTTTTAATCTAACGGATAATTAGAATGTAAATTTAATTTCACATTTGTATGATAAAATCTAAATTGTTTAAATTATCACTTGTTGTTTAAGTTACACTTTAACAGTAAACTTACTTGTAAGAAAATGCAGTCATTAAACTTTTGTATCTAAAATTTTAAATAAATATAAAGTCCTATAAAGTTCGATAAATCTTCTGACCTTAAACACAGATTCCACCTTAAATGTTTGTAGATTTATGTCAATATTCAGAAGGAGTGGCTTTAATCTGAGCCAGGACAAAACAATAAGAATGAAAACTAAAACACTTTTTTATGATTTCAGGTGAGTTAGTTGTGGGTTGTGTTTATGGGTGAGAAAAAAAATCACATTCTTAGTCACAGTCAAAACTCTGTGTGTGATTCAGATCCATGCTGAGGTGACACGTCAGGCTAATCTCAGGTGTGTTAATCTTCTTTAAAATTATAGAATAAAATCTTTTATTTTTAAATTTGTCAAAGGTGCTCACTTCTTAACGGTGGATTAAAACCATGGTGAGTGCAGAGGAAGAATGGAGAGGAGAGAAAAGTCAGGAAAGGAAACAGATTCACCTTTAGAAACTGAACCAGAGATTATGAAAACGAACTGATAAATAAAAACGTGCAGAAAGATTCAAATCTCCGACCATCTGACCTGTAGGACCTGCGATGTTCGACATCATCATCATGACAAGAGGCGGGGCCACAGCAAGTGTGGGCGGGGTCAGAGCAAAGACAACAATGTTGACAAGTCTGGTATTTATGTGTGTGTGTGTGTGTGTGTGTGTGTGTCAAACAGTGACCATGCACCTGATCAATTAGTGGAACAAAAGAAAAAATACTGATTCCGGATCAGAACAGCGGAGTCCGACAAAATCACCAGAATTCTTTTGTGTTTTGACCTTTGACTTAATGAGTGTTTTTAGACCTTAGTCACTGACCAGAAGAGATCCAAACAAAGCAGTGAAAACAATATGGATCATTTCCAAAAATAGTTATAATAGTTAACCAACATGGCAGCACGGGAGGGGGGCTGAACTAAAACCCAGGCCAGACAGGTATAAGGGTCAGATAAATAAATGTGATAACTGTGTGGTGTGAAGTTCTGGTGTTTGTCTCAGACTCAACTGTTTGACACCAATATTTCCTGGAAATGACATCACATGACGACAAACAAACACGTATGACATCACATGACTTCAGAGCTGTGGAGAGAAGAATGGGAGAAAACAAAGGTGAGGGTGGGTGTGGAATCGTGAGGGGTTGGTGGGGGGTGGTCACAGATTGAGAGCTCCCCAGCATTCTCTCCAGGTGGAGAATGGATGGCAGTGAATCTGGACAGGTGCCTCCAACAATTGGTGTGGCTTGTAACATGCAAATCAACCAATGAGGTGTGAAAGAAGGATGTTGAAATCCTGCCTGGTTTTCAAACATGAAGTTCAAATTTAAAAAGTATCTGTTTCTGGGATACAAATGTCCAACAGTTTTTCTGAAGGAAGTTTCCAGAGGATGAGCCAAACTGAGGTTTTCCTCCATGGACTTTGGACTTTGGACTATCACTGTGGTCTGTGGACTCATCACTCTAGATCAGTGGTTCTTAACCTTGTTGGAGGTACTGAACCCCACCAGTTTCATATGCGCATTCACCGAACCCTTCAGTGATGGCCAAGTGGGGGGGCGTGTCATCACGAATCATATGAGTCGGGTGTGTCTTGTCCTCCGCCGAACTCCTGAGACTGACTCACCGAACCCGAGGTTAAGAACCACTGACCTAGACTGAGGGCTTTTCACAATTAAGACTTATTTGAAGTCTCAGTGTAAAGACCAATTGTTTGTCTACAGGAAAGCCAGGCAGCATTTTCCTATAGCAAGTAAGACGTTCAACTGCTTTACCTGCTCTTCCAGGTGGACCAGGTGGACCTTGAAGTCCTTTTGGGCCCTGCAGAGCCAGTCCAGGTGGCCCAGGGGGTCCGATATTTCCTGGAGCACCTGGGTTACCAGGGAAACCTGCCTCTCCTTTGGAGCCAGGGAATCCAGGAGATCCGGATGGACCAGGAAGACCTGGGTCTCCCTTAGCACCTAAACAGCGATTAAGAATTTAGATTCTTCTACAGAACAGTAAGCAGAACTGTTGAGTCTGTCCACATTTTTCCATGTAAAACTCACCTGGTAAACCAGGAAGACCAGAGGGACCAGGACCACCATAACCAGGCAGACCTGCAGAAGATTGAAGATATGGAGTGAATTTCATTACATTACTATCATTACATTTACAAAAAAATCCCAAGGTAAAAGACGTACCTGGTTCTCCTTTGATTCCAGCTGGTCCTGGAATTCCATCACGACCAGGCTGACCTTTCTCTCCTGGCAACCCTGCTGATCCTGGACGGCCAGATTCTCCTGGTCTTCCGGGAGCTCCATTAAGACCAGGGCCACCAGGGCCACCATCAAGACCCTTCGGACCTGGACTACCAGGAGGACCTGAACGTAGAGCACAAAATAAAATAGACTCAGCTTCCTCATTTCACATCCTGATTTATTTAGGCATCTGAGGATGAAAGATTTTAAGACCTACCTTGAAATCCTGGGAGACCAGGATCACCTTTGGTACCTGGTCCTCCAGGTAAACCTTGAAGACCTGGTGCTCCAGGTGCTCCTTTGAGTCCTGGACCTCCTGGGAACCCTGGCTGGCCTGGCTCACCCTGTGGATAAGAGGAAGTGGTGTGAACTCCCATTTTGAATGAAGGAAACACCCTGAATACATGACATTTGTTGGGTTCTGTACCTTAGGTCCAGGTATTCCTGGTGGTCCCACTCCTGTAGAGCCTGGATCACCTTTAGTTCCGGGATAACCAGGTGATCCTGGTTGTCCTGGGGATCCTGGCCGTCCTGACTGACCAGGTAGACCCTTCTGTCCCGAAGGCCCTGAGATTTCATCAAGGTTTAAGTAAGTTCAAACATAAAGCGAAATCCTAGGAACCTAATGGAGAACAAAGACAAAGACAACGTTTATAAACCCACCTGGAAATCCCATTTCTCCCATGCTTCCTTTTGCTCCAGGACCTCCTGGTACACCTGGGGTTCCTGGGAATCCAGAATCTCCCTTAGGACCTATAAACAACACACGTGGTTCAGCAAAGAAAACAATTGTCTTAAAACAGGATGCTGCATGACCAGGTAAAGCATCAATACCTGCTGGTCCTGGAAGTCCAGGGCGACCATCTCCTCCTGGCAACCCAGAGTCTCCAGGCAAACCAGAAATTCCTTTTTGACCAGGAAAGCCTGGTGCACCTGAGTGACATCACAAAATGTTAGGATTTTGTAAAAGACGTTTGAGTCATTGATAAATGAAAGATGTCTTCAGAGGTACCTGGTAGTCCTGGCTCTCCTTTGGTACCCTTTGTGGCTTGTGATGTCACAATGGTACCAGGTGGTCCTGCAACACCAGGGTCACCCCTCTCTCCCTTGACACCAGGACCACCTGGTCCTCCATCTCTGCCGGGGAATCCTGGTTCACCTAGAGAAGATGACATGAGAATCAGACAGGTCCAAACGCCCTGGTCTGTCTGAGACACACCACGTACAAAACTGGAAAATGGAAATACTTACCTTTAGGTCCAGGTGCTCCAAGTCCTCCTGGGCCTCCGGGTCCTCCTGATGGTCCTGGTGGTCCAACAAGTCCTGTGTCTCCTTTCTGTCCTACAAACATAGAACGACATAAGCATTTTGTTGATTAGACAGAAATTGACTAAGAACAAGTTGGCAAAACATTACCACTTTTTTGCAGACCGCCAAAATCTATAATTCATTTCACTAATAACTGATGATGATGTATACCTGGCAGCCCAGGTAGACCATCTCGTCCAGGTCCTCCTGGAGGTCCTGGTGGTCCAATCGATCCTGGAGATCCTGGAAGACCTGGATTTCCTCTATCCCCTGGTAGACCTGGGATATCTAGACCTGGAGGGCCAGGGTCTCCCTTCTGCCCATTCTGACCAGGGTAACCTGTGACAGAAAGGTAAGACCTCACTCTCTTGATGGAGAACAGTTCTGATGCCTCATACACAGAACCATTCGTCTGTCATCTGCACAGATTATCTCAAGTTATTGTTATGCTTCTTACCGGGTGAACCAACTGGGCCTGGAGGTCCAGTAGGACCTGGCTCGCCCAAGGAACCGATAGAGGGAGGTCCAGGTGGACCACGAGCTCCAGGGATACCGGGGATACCAGGCTCACCTGGATAGAAAAATGGGTTTGCACTTTGGTAAACCAGGTGGTACCTAACAGATCATTCGCTCTTTTAGTACAACTCCTACCTTTGGGTCCAAAGGAGCCATCAAAGCCGGATCTTCCTGGTGCACCAGGATTGCCTGGAAAACCAGGATCTCCCTTTGGTCCTGGCAAACCTTTAGCTCCAGGTACTCCAGATAAACCAGGAGGGCCAGGAAGTCCATAGCCAGGTTCACCCTGTTAGAAGATACATATACATGAAGTCATCAATTTCCTGCTGTGGTTTCATACTTATTTTTCTGTCTATCATTCTCTTTACCTTGGATCCAGGTAATCCAGGCTGCCCAGGTAGTCCATCTATTCCTGGTCTCCCTGGTCCACCAGAAGCTCCCGGTTGTCCAGGAATACCTGGGAATCCTGTACAGGGATAGTTCAATGTCAGATACAGAGATTGTGTCAGAAGAACAGAAGCTGCAGCTGCTGGTGTCGATACCTTTTGATCCTGGGGGTCCTGGAAGTCCTATTCCTGGAAGTCCGGGATCACCCTTAGCCCCTGGCAAACCAGGAAAACCGGGCTGCCCAGGAGAACCTGGACTACCTGTGGACAGAGCGGCAAGAGAAGAACATGTAATCCAACAACAAATGATGGTACCTTTGTCTCTGAGATGGCACAGATCAGGATTTTATACCTGGTGTTCCAGGCAATCCAGGCTCTCCATCCTCTCCTCTGAGTCCTGGTGTACCTTTGGCTGCAGTTGCCTGACCTGGGGCTCCTTTAGCACCTGAAAAGAAAATTAAGAAGAGCACAATGGTGGATGAAGAACTTTGGATTAGGTATTTACCTCACATCAATTGACTAGAACCATCATAAAATCATATGTGGATATCGTAAAAAATCATACGGATACGTGTACGTGGATTATTAATGGAAAAGTAAAAAAGATTATCCTTTTACCAGGTAGACCTGGAGCTCCAGGTCTTCCAGAGACACCTTGGACACCCTTCTCTCCTACAGGCCCTGCAGGTCCAAAGCCTGGAGATCCTGGGGGACCTCTGTCCCCTGGAATACCAGCTGCACCGGGCTCACCAGGAGTCCCCCTTTCACCTTTAACAAGCAGGGATCCCTGAAAAACAGAAACAGTCTTGAAAGGAACTATAGAAACCAAACATACGTACTCCTAAAAACAATCACTTACAGAAGCTCCTTTAGGCCCAGGAAGACCAGGCTGTCCATCACGACCTGGTCGTCCATCCAGACCAGGCAAACCAGGAGGCCCAGGGAAGCCAGTGTCACCCTTGTCCCCCCTGATCCCGCTCACTGTGATGGCCTCACCTGGGTCTCCTTTCTCTCCTGTTAATCCAGGGGTACCTGGAAAACCAGGATTTCCCTGGAACACGATGGTGCTTGTTAGTCATCTGGTCATTATTTGAAAATCTTAGGATTCTTTTTTTACTTTGAAGATGGTATGAGAAGAATAACTCACTGCGGGACCGATAGTACCAGGAGCTCCTGGAAAACCTCTGTCACCTTTTGTTCCCGGGCTGCCAGGGATTCCTGAGGACGACAGGAATATGAAGTTTGTTTTTGCATGATTTTGTCCATTTTTGAAAAAAAATTGTAAGATTACCAACTTGCTTAAGGAGACTAAGTGTGAAAAATGTTCAGTGCTAGAGAAAGATTGGTGTTTGCTGTAGTATTACAAAACAAAGTAAGGGAAAACGTACGACAGCATTGGCCAAAATAGTAAAAGAAATTATATGCAGCATTGGCCAAAATAGTAAAAGAAATGATATGAATAATGATAATGAAATGATAATAATAATAATAATAATATTTAGAACATAAACAACAGAAATAGGTGTTAGTCCAATACACGTTTCCATTTTAAATCATTTGGTTGCCAGTCATCAAACCTACCAGAATAAAAGACACACAGTGTGTTTCTATAAATGTGAGAGTAAAGTCCTGAACTGTGTTGTGCTTAGGCAGGCAGAGAACACAATAAAACCTCTTCCTTTCTTCTGTTACAAAAAGTTCACAAAGATAAGAGTGGTGTTCAGTCAACTCTGTGTCATCTTTTCCATCATCTATGTGACCAGCACAATCTCTCAACAAAACCAAAAGGAGTTCACAGTAAATTACATGTGGAGCCCTGATTGTTGTGGTTATGGTTTTGACATCATTCTTTGACTCATGTAAAAAAAGAAAGAAAGAAAAAGAAACGTGAGGTTTCACAAAATGCAATGGGATAAAAAGGTAAGAATATTTACTTTCAAATGTAGTGTAGTCAAAGTATAAAGTTTGGCCAAATATAGCAAAGTACAGATACATTTATATTTTACTGAAGTACAGGGACGAATTACATCTACTTCATTACTGTCCACCACTGCTTATGCACCTGTGTTAAAATCTGCGGCCGGAGCTCATCAGTTATAGACTCCCCTGTATCACAGGATCCTTATGGAACTGAATGAATTCGTACACATTGAAGCTATAGATAACTGAGATGAAGCTTTTCAGTCTTAGAATAGGCTAAAGCAAAGCATCTAGATCAGAGTTTCCAGGTAAACTAGGAAAAGTAAGGAAGTTACTTGCAGAGTTGTATTTGGAAAAATACTTTAAATTGTTGATAAATGGCAAATACATTATCAATAAACAGGTCCTTAAAAGTCCAGATACCATGATTCACCCTGTCTCTGGGAGAGGAAAGAAATATAAAGATGAGTAACTTCCTGTTTTATTGTGAAAAGCCTCATCAGTGGTTCTAACGTCCTGGCTCAGCTGTGTCTCATTACATTAGTTCTTCACACTAGTTATACTCTCTGACTTCTTCTTCATCTCGTCTTGGATTGTTTTTTACACAGATGTGCCTTACCTTCACTGTGAGTAATATTTGTAATATTTTATTCAAAGGTTTTTAAACTCTTAAATAACAGGTGCTCATTTGTAGCTTTGAAGTTCTCCTGCTGCCGAAAATGTGTATTAGAATTTGTCTTGGGGATTAATTTATTTATAACAGACATAGAAACAAGTCCATTCCTTAAAAAAAAGAAAGAAATATATATAATTTATAAAGAAAGTAACCGTCGCTCCGTTTGTTTACATTCAGTGACGAGGCGCCGCCATCTTTAATTCGAGAACGATGGACATACTGTATGTCCTGTGACGTACATGGGATTTGACGTCAATGTACGGAAATAAAGTACTTTCCGCAAATGCTTAATTTCTGTTGTTACGTTCGGTCCGATTCCGTCAGATTGGCGGATAACTGCAGCTTAGATGGCAAACGTAAAAATACAGAATACATTTTTCGTTTTATATTACAGTGCGTTTACGTAATCGATTTGTTCGTTTGCAACAAACAACCGGACACCGCTATCTTTAATCTTGAGTTTCTTCTCTCCTGGAGAGAGTTCTCTAACACAGAGGGGAGGAGCACATTTAGATGGTGTCTGCAGTAGAAGGTAAATGGGGACTATTTAAAAAAAAGAATTAATCCTTAAATATTAAAAAAATAAATAGATGAATCCACTCAAATTGTAAACTATTCCTGGTTTTGATGTTTTAAATATCAGTATCAGTTTTGGTTGGGTGTAATTGTAAATGTTTATGTCCAACAGTTATCACGAATAGAAGGAAAAGATCACAGTTTATTAGTCAGTCAGAAATCAGACAAGTGAAGCTAAAAGAACTACTCTTAGGTCTTACCTGGAAGTCCAGGTTGTCCTGGAGGTCCTTGAGGTCCTGGAATAGGATTGGTTCCTCCATAGCAGTTGACGCAGGTGTCACCCTTCTCACCTGGAACCGCATCAGATCATTTGAGTACAGAAGTCTTTGAAGTGTTCCAGGTTCGACTAAGACCTTTGACTAGTACTCACCTTTCTGACCGGACTCTCCGGGGTACCCTCGTTCTCCCTGAACACCTGGACGTCCAGGATTTCCAGGTTCACAGTTTTGTCCAGTGGAAAAGCCAGGAGGTCCAGGTGGTCCCTGAGGACCCTGAGGACCTGGAGCTCCTGTGCGACCTGGAGGACCTGGTAGTGTGATTCCTTGGGCACCTGACTCTCCCTTCTGACCCCGCTCTCCAGGGTAACCTGGGGATCCAGGCTGGCCACTGCCTCCGATTGCAGGGAGACCTGGAGTTCCAGGTGGTCCTGTCAGACCTGGACACACGTTTCCATATTAGAATAATTAGATAATAAAAGGTAAAATGATCGAAAACAAAGTGTGAAAGCTGAAATAAAACTTAGCCAACAAATTCCTAAAGATTCTAATACAAACTAGCTTAATTAGCATGAACAGAGCTAATAGTTAGCCTGTGTCAGGTTACTTTGTGTTTAGCTGACAGCTTCTGTTAGCCTACTGTAATTGGCTAATGATTCATTGTTGTACCTGGGGGTCCTCGTTCTCCTTTATATCCAGGAGATCCTGGGAAACCAGGTTCACCTTTGGGACCAACCTGACCTCCAGTCTGTCCACCAATCACCTTAAAGACAATCAAAGCAAATGATATTTAGCCAAATACATAATGAAATAGTTTTTAAGGCTGAGCCGTTTAAAATACTTCAATATTTGATAAAGTTAAATGGGAACACCTGGTGTTCGCACAATATAGTGCAGTATAGAAATATTTTCCCCAATGAAATTTTAATTAAAGATAATAAAAAGTATATGAATGTATTTCTTAGTTGTTTTTTTTATTATTATTATTGTGGCTGAAAGATGAGTAAAAGAATAAAAACACACCAGTCCAGGTGGACCTTGGAAACCACGGTCTCCTTTTTGACCCTAAAACAAACAAAATGTTGTTTAGTTCTTGCTTGTTGTTCATCGTGCACTCATGTAGCCTTTATGCTAACAGGATACAAAGTAACTTGTATATAGAACTTACTCTCTCTCCGTCTCTTCCTGGAGAACCAGGTAAACCTCCATCACCTTTGGTTCCCTGAGAGAAAAACACAAAAATTAGCTAAAGCTTTATGAGGGGTCTAGATATTACGTGTGTGTGTTTGTGTGTGTGTTGTATTTTCATGACGCACAGGGAAGCCTGGAGGACCAGGGTCTCCATCTTTGCCTGGTTTGCCCTGAAACAGAAAAGAAATTCAGTGCTTTAAATAAAACAACACTAAACATGATGTAATAATTGTGTATAAACTTGTTTAATGTGAACTCACTCTTTTTCCTGCTTCTCCTGCTTCTCCTTTCTCCCCCTTTGCTCCACCAGAGGGCCCCTGAGCATACAGATGACATTGTCATTATTCAATACTTGACTATTACTACACTAATTACATTTTTTTAAACTTAATTGCAGAAAGACTCACAGGAGAACCAGGATAACCTTGGTCACCTCTGGGTCCTGGAGGTCCTGGATCACCCTGGAGAAAATAACCAAAAGGTAAATATTTCAATATATTATTATTCATGGACTGTATAAAGAAATCTCTACAAAAACAAAGAGAAAAAGGGAGAACATTTTAAATATATGCATAAAAATATATAAAGTGTATATATATAATCAGATTATAATCAGATTATTATTTTAATATTCTGGAAATCTAAAAATATATTCCTCGTCTATATTTAGAATCTCTAGTCTATTTAGTTTCTCTGCTGCCATCGTGTGGCTTATCGGTTATATTGCAGTACTATGTCGTTTTATTCAAGGTGTTTGTGTAAAAATACTTAACAAAAGTCAACGTTTAGGAGAAAAGTTTTAAATGTGGGAGATCAGGGGAAGATGAAGGAGGAATGAAAAGAAGAGGTAAGGAGGAGGAGATTGAATAGAATGTAACAGTGAAAAGAAGAAGATGGTTGTAAAGAGGAAATAGAAAAGGAGGAGGAACATACACAAGGAGGAGCAGAAGAATAGAGAGGAAAGGGAAAAGAAGAGAGATGTCAGAGAATCCCTCCTCCTCCTCCTTCCCATTTCAGAGCTCTATGATGAAGACTGAGCAGGGCTCATCAGTGACTTCACTGATGATGTCAATGCAGAGGAGATGGCCCTCACCTTGTCTCCTCTCTGGATCTCTGTGATTGAAGGTCTGTTTTGTTCTCCAACCTGACCTGGAGGACCTGGAGGTCCTTGAAGACCCGGTTCACCCTGAGAGATGTAAAGACAGAAATAAAAAAAACTTGACTAAAACAGAACCCAGGTTCATTAGAAGGTCCTCTCCTTACCTTCTCTCCTTTAGGACCCTGGAAGTTCTGACCCATGTTCCCCTGAGAAGAAGAAAAAGAAGAAGAAGAGACACTGTCTGAGAGTCAAAGAGACTTAAATGAAAGAGGCCTAAATTTTCTGACACACGTGAGCAGAAATGTAGATGTATGATTGAGTATAAGATGAGTGGACTGACCTTTGGCCCTGGAGGACCAGGAGGACCTGGACGACCCTGAGGTCAATGATAAGACAAACACAGTTCATTAAAGGTCAGGAGGATTTGGATCATCGTTGTCACGGTCAGCTGTGAGTTTTTACCTCGTAGCCTCTTTGTCCTAAAGGACCGGTAGGGCCTGGAAGACCTGGAGATCCTGGAGAACCCTAGTCCACAAAACAAATAGGTTTGAAAACAGATCCTGTTCTTCACTGTGTTTATGTGTGTGTGTTTGTGTGTGTGTGAACTCACAGGAACCCCTGGTAAACCAGGTAACCCCACGGCTCCTTTTTCTCCAAACTGATTGGTGGAGATGATGTCACCTGGGTCGCCCTGTGGACCAATGAAGAAAAGACCAATGAATTTGTGAGTAAAACACTGAAAATCTGCTTCTAATTGAGTTAAAAGTAATGATAAAAATGGAATATTTAAATAATAAAAATTGTTTTTATTTATTTTAACAGAAATCACAGCTAAATGTCATTTTTCAGATAAATTAAAATAGTTTTATCTCCTACCTTTGGTCCAGTCAGACCTGGTGGGCCCTGATCAATAAAGACAGAAAAGCAGAAAATTCAGAAAAGAAACAAAAATCACAACATTCCCCATTTTCCATCTTTGATCCTTGGACTCACCGGCAGTCCAGACTGTCCTGGAATTCCTCCTGCTCCTGGAAAACCACGTTCACCCTGGGCACAGAACGCAAGGGAAATAAATTAGGTTCCCATGACAAAATCCATCCATCCAACTGACCGACCGACCATCCATCCATCCAACCAACCAACCATCCATCCAACCGACCATCCATCCATCCATCCATCTATCTATGTATCCATGTATCTGTGGTCCAGCCGGCCGACCATTGTTCACCAAAGGTAAATATACAGTATTTATTTAAAATTACATCAGTCTTTTCCTAAGATAACATTGAATTGATAGATAACATGTTAGCGTGCCATTAGCAACAGAGCTGGCGGTCTGTCTTTTCTTTTCTTTATCTTTGTCATCAGATAGTTTGAGTGTCTGTGTGCAGTGACCTGTAGAGGGAAACTCCATGTCGTTTGTTCTTAAGGTCCTCACTCAGCTAACATTTAGCATTAGCTCCTTTCACTTTCTCCCATTAAAAAAACCTTGGGCTTGAAACTTCCAGCACTATGGGATGTCCGTTTCATTTATTGTTAATTTGTATATGTCATTGGAATTTAAACATGACATAAACAAACCAAAATTACAAATACGTTTAACATGTCGCAATGTAAAATTAGACAAATTAAAATTATTAAAATTAACTTTAATTTCCGGAATAGGTCAGACAAAAATAATTTAAACAATTCACCATGGTCATCATTAATGACTTTAATTATAATTTATTAATAACTTTTGGACCTACAACATGCGCTCATGTGATTTGTTGTAAAATCAATAAACACAATGATACTGTAGTATAATCATTATATCCTAATAAATTCTCTGACAGTAATCCTACCAAGGAAATCTATAATCCTGATATTCTTAGACAAATATTTTTTAGAAGCCACACTGGGTTAACTCCAGGCGTCATTCCCAGGAAGACTCCTCCTGGGATTCTACCTTAGTTCCATTGCATCCTGGAACTCCTCTGGGTCCTAGAGGTCCATCCTGACCAGGCAGACCCTGAAGGCCAAACAAACAAAGTTACATTTTCAATTTGTCTGGCAATATTAATTATGTATTTTGTTTTATCTTTGGACATGTGGAAACTCACAGGAAGTCCTGGCGTTCCTGGGAATCCTGGTAATCCTGAAGGTCCCTGTTAGAAGGAAGCACATTAATAGATAAATGAATTAAAATTAAAATGATCAAAAAATATAATTTAAACAAAAACACATCAAATAATTAAATCAAATCAGATAAAAAAGGAGGTCAGGTATGTAGTGTTAAAATGAGGACATCTGCTGGTCAACTGTGGTAACCAGTCTAAAACATCTTTTATCAAATCAGATAAAAAAAACGAACATGATACCATACAATACATATATACAGAATAATAAAGTTTAGCTCATTTATGATATATTATTATTTTACATAATAAACACATTTCAATTAATGGAAAAGTTATGTTAAGCCTTTAAAATCACTAATAATATAATAGAATATAATAGAAGTAACAAGGTAATAAATAAATAAAAGTAATAAATGTAATGATATTGTGTTGACACTCACCCTAATTCCTTTTGGACCAGAAAGTCCATGAGGCCCCTCACTGCCCTGCAAAACCAGACCAGAACCAGGCCCAGAATCAGTAACAGTTCATGATAATCATAATTATCTTTTTTTTATTTTTACAAAGGTCATGAATTTCATTTCATTTGAACTATAAGAATAAGTAATAAATAAAGAAGAAACATATTTGGTGATTTAAAATAAAATAGTCTATTCCTCAGATTTATTATTAACAACAATAATTTAAACAATACAATACTTTATAATAAAAGGGAATATACAGATCCATAATAATATTTTTTTTATTTATTTATTTTTTTTTAATTTACGTTGAAGGTAAAACTGGAAAAAACTGATCTCAGACCAGTCCTAGCTCAGAGGCATCTCATCACATCAGCAGATCTGAGTTTAAACTGTATAAAAGAATAACAGACTCCGCCCACCTTCTCCCCTCTGGGGCCAATGGGCCCCTCAGGTCCAGGGAATCCTGGAACTCCAGGTTGTCCAGTCAGACCTGGAAAACCACGTTCACCCTAAAAACAGAAGACACGGAAACTGAGCGAGATGATGGTGTGTGTGTGTGTGTGAGAGAGAGACTCTGTGTCAGTGTGTGTGTGTCAGTCACTGACCTTGTCTCCCTTCACTCCTCTGCAGTCACATTTTGATCCTGCACATCCTTGACACGCCTGCCAATTAATAGAGAAAACAGAACTAATAATCAATGATATGATCAATAATAATCAAATAGCTTCTACTCATCTACAACTGGATGATCCAGGAAAGGTCTTGATCGATGGGTAATAAATAAAATGTACACAGAAAACTGAGAGATGAATTGACATTCACAGAATCAAAATTCACTAGTTCAACTATGTTAGCTTTTAATGGAAGGTTAGCTTAAATACAGCAGAGAGATAGCTCAGTTAGCTTAGAGTTAGCACCAAGGAAACCACTGTACAACTTAATAAAGCATTCTGGAATCATGATAGGAATTTTTATCTGAGACTTATTTAAAAAAGAAAATAAAACCACCATACTCCAACCATTTTGACGTACAGGTAAAACAGAGTAATGTTAACATGACATTATGGTACCATCACAAAGGTAATCTAGAGATACAGGGGAGTTATGAACTCTGGCCAGCAGGGGGAGCTCTATTCTAACAGACAGCAGAGAAAGGCTTACCCAGACAGATGAGGCATAGAAACATATATAAATTCTCCCTGGTTTATTTGGTGATGAGAAAACCAGGGAGTTTTATTTACTAAAAGTTAAAGGACAAAAGTGAAACAAAGTTTTGTCTGCACAGATAACAGTGTGGACACACTGATTGTTGGTGTGAACGTGCTGAACCTGGTGTGATTGCACCTGTTCACACAGCAGTGGATCAGTGAGTCCAGAGGGAAAACACAGACTCAGCCTTTAACAGGGGATAAGAAAATATTGATACACTGAAATATTGCGATATTTCCTGACACTGTACTGTACTGATATTCTACAGCACTGTAGAATACGGATTTAGTTTTTTTTACTAACATTTAACATGCAAACATTCATGGCACTGGTTCATTTTATTTAGCTTTATTTCTTCTCTAGTGATTCCAAACGTAGATCCCTCTGTTCCAGTTTTACTAACCTGATGATAACCATGTGACAGCCTTAAGTGTTTACTGTGTGGACAGGTACGTAACGTACCGACACACCCCTAGTACGCAGGGTCTGAAACTTTTTTAAAAATATACTTCAGTGACATAAACTGGCCACAAGAGACAGCAGTGGGCCAGCAGCTCCTGTCAGAGTGAGTGGTTTATAGACAGAATCATACAAAGCTGTTGATTCAGAGTATTGAACATGAATAAATATGTAGGAACGGGAGGGTGTGTGTGTGTGTGTGTGTGTAAGAAAAAGAACCTTGAATCTCCAGATTAGTCACTGGTCTGCTTCAGCACAATACAGTCTGCTCTCCCACGTCCAGACCTGCAGCTCCAACTATTTTCAACTCTCTCTCTCTCTCTCATCACAATGAAGTCTTGATTGGCCCATATCTGAATTCTTCCCACATGTGACCCATGATTTATCGATCTGACAGTCTCTGTGGTTCTGACTGTTCTTAATTTAGATCCACACACCTCAGTTTGAACACCTAATGTCTCATTTAATCAAAACTGACACACACACACACACACGTTAGCGTTTGTGAACATAGTGTGTGGCGTCACCTCGGGGTTCCCTCAGTCTATACATTGAAACTTGAATGTGAACAACAAGGTAAAAAAAAACTAAGTGTGAGAAAATGACCTGTGATGACCTCTGGTGTGTTTCTCACGTTGGCTCTGTTGTTGTGTCCACCTCAGGGTTGTTATCATTGTTGTTCTGGGTGTTGTTGTGGTACCAGTCCACCATCAGTTTTTTCCCCTGGTGTTGTGGCAGGTTTGGTGTCTCCCACTCTAAGGGCTCACAGTGAGTGCAGCACATTTCTGCAGCCCACTGACCGTCTCTAAGTGGATTACACTCCTTGTGCTGTCAGAGACTCTGCTCTGTGTTTTCAACTTTAACTCCAACACTGGCTCCAGTCAGAGTCACTGTTCAGAACAGTAGAGAGCAGGGGCCAACAAACACATCTGCAGCCTGAGGGCTCCAAACCCATCGGACCCTCAGTTTAAGGTGTGACAGGTTTTAATCCTGGGACCATGAAACAGCTTCTGGTCAGACTTCGATGTAAGTGTAAAGAGACAAGGAGGTTCCTGTATGGAGATGGTAGAGATATTTGCTCTGAAGGTGTCTCAAAGTCAGGGAGCTGAGCTCTTTGTGGACATGAGTGGAACTGTGATGGTCAGAGAAACGGCAAAACTAAAAGGTTCGGTATCGTTAACTGGTGAGAAATAGAGATGGAGCTGAGCTGTAGGTGAGGAGTGGGAGGGAGGGAGGGATGAACATATTCAACCAGGGATTAGACTGTCAAGACTGGAATTCCCCCTTTTTTATCACACGCTGATGATTAAACACACACACAGACACACACAGACATACACACACCCCACCACACCACAGACATGCAGTCATCATAGAAACAGGGTGTGTGAAGCGCACAAGCAGCAACAACACACAGTGTGATTTTTGATAAGTTAATGCACAGCTGCAGTTCTACCAACGAGCCACCAGGGGGAGACAGTAAGCTTTCAGATAACAGATTTTTTATCATCACAATTTAAATGGGAACTTTTCAGAGCCAAACTCGGTCAGCAGAAGACTTTGGGTTCTGTTTTTCTGGTACTGTTACTGGTTATGGTAGTTCTGTTTCAGTTTTAGCTCAGTTCTGATTCTGTCTCCTCTTCACTGCTTCAGACTTCAACTCAGAGCTGCTGATGCTTAATGGTATTTGGACATCTCCCGCCCCACTTCTTGTCTCACCCTTTCATCTCTCCCTCATCACCCTCATGGTCGCATCAGCTTTATCTCTAACATTCGATCATCATTCCCTCTTTGGGGATTCTCTCTGTGGTTCTTTTCATCTGCTTGTGTTCGTGGACCTTTGACCTCTGTGACCTTCCTGCTCAGTAGAGAGAATGACCTTCAGAGTTTCAAATTCATCGCCTCTGTTTCCTTTCCTCTTCAAAGAAGAAATTAACTCTTCTTGTTTTCTTTTTTTTTTTTTTTTGAACATGACTGAGGAATGAATAGGACTGTTTCTGAAAACAATTCAAACCAGAACGTCCATGGAGAAAATCAGAGATTTTAGCTCACAGACCAAAGTCCATAGAGAAAATCAGTGATTTCAGCTCACAGACCAAAGTCCATGGAGAAAATCAGAGATTTTAGCTCACAGACCAAAGTCCATTGAGAAAATCAGAGATTTTAGCTCACAGACCAAAGTCCATAGAGAAAATCAGAGATTTTAGCTCACAGACCAAAGTCCATGGAGGAAATCAGTGATTTTAGCTCACAGACCAAAGTCCATAGAGAGAATCAGTGATTTTAGCTCACAGACCAAAGTCCATAGAGAAAATCAGAGATTTTAGCTCACAGACCAAAGTCCATAGAGAGAATCAGTGATTTTAGCTCACAGACCAAAGTCCACAGAAACAATCAGTGATTTTAGCTCACAGACCAAAGTCCATAGAGAGAATCAGTGATTTTAGCTCACAGACCAAAGTCCATAGAGAAAATCAGAGATTTTAGCTCACAGACCAAAGTCCATAGAGAAAATCAGAGATTTTAGCTCACAGACCAAAGTCCACAGAAACAATCAGTGATTTTAGCTCACAGACCAAAGTCCATAGAGAAAATCAGAGATTTTAGCTCACAGACCAAAGTCCATTGAGAAAATCAGAGATTTTAGCTCACAGACCAAAGTCCATAGAGAAAATCAGAGATTTTAGCTCACAGACCAAAGTCCATGGAGGAAATCAGTGATTTTAGCTCACAGACCAAAGTCCATTGAGAAAATCAGAGATTTTAGCTCACAGACCAAAGTCCATTGAGAAAATCAGAGATTTTAGCTCACAGACCAAAGTCCATTGAGAAAATCAGAGATTTTAGCTCACAGACCAAAGTCCATTGAGAAAATCAGAGATTTTAGCTCACAGACCAAAGTCCATAGAGAAAATCAGTGATTTTAGCTCACAGGAGACACAGGAGGATGGTGATCTACCTTTTTGTCTTCATAACCAATATAACCTCAGTGACACAAGGTGACCACAGGAGGCAGCAGTGTACAAGCAGACTGTTATGGCAGGCAGAGAGGTTTGGGAGCGTGAGATGTTTGCAGACTGGTGTCTTGTTCACAGCAGTGGTTCTCATAAAGACACGTGATAAAACTGAAAAGTGTTTGATAGTTGTTTAAAGATCAACAGCTGAAGCTTCGGGGAGATGTAAACCGTCTCTCTCTCTCTCTCTCTCTTTCTTTCGTTCTTACATCTGTAAAAACACGCTCCCTCATCCCAGTTTTTCTTCAACTTTTACTGAACCACGGATCTCAACAGGCAGCGACGTGTTTGATCCCAGTGCTGCAACACTGAAACAGATAGAGGACTGGAAGTGAAAGATCTGGAACACCAACACTAACACCAGCAGCAGTTCCCAAAACATTCCACAATGCCATGGTTTTCTCAGCAGAAACACACAGTTAAAACCAAAATAATACTAATTCATCACAGAGCTTGTCTGATCGCCGCCACTTCCTGCGCAACACACTCATAAATCACACCTGAGAACAAAAGTTCCTGCTCTGACGAGTGGCTGCAGGGTATATGAAGATAACCTGTAATTAACACCCATTTAACATCAGCACACTTAACGGGGAAAATGGCAACATTTATAACATTAGAACGAATTCTAACATGCTGTAAAGAGCAGCCCAGAAAGAATGGAATCGTTTTATTGGCGTTACTGTTGTTGCTCCTCAGCTCTCCCCTTCAATCATTAGCATGTCAGTGAATGTCAGTGGGCTTGATTGGTTCTTCTAAAATACTAAAAAATACTAAAAAAATGTTTGTCCATAAGGAAAATCAATGAGTTTACCTCATGATCACACAGGGGGCGCTGGTCCACTGCTGCCTCCATCACTAAGTTTCTAATGGTGGATTTGGATTAACTGAAGTGACAAAAGTTCACCACAGGAGGCAGGAGAGGACCGGCATTGTCCCTGTGTGCTAAAATCAATGATTTTCTTATTTGACTTTTTGTTGTTGTTGTAAGAGTCTTTGTTGGAGAGAAACAGAACAGGGAGCAGACTCCATGCTGATAACCATAAAGTGATAATAACAGATTGTATCAGCAGAGTATTTTGGAGAGAGGATTCACTGAGTGTCTGCTGGCAGTGAAAACGTGGCAGACTTTCCTGCTTAATGTGAACATAAAACCTTAATTCTGAGCCTATAAAAATCATGCCGTATATTAGTGTCAACACATGATGTACTAATCAAAGCAGGTCTATGGTAAGGATATCAAATTCCCGCCTCCTCACTGTAACCCGCTGCAGCTTTAACCTACTCCGTCACAGCAACACAGGGTATAATTTGCACGTTTCAATACATGCACACATACATACTTCTTATTCTCCACGGTTCCTACCCCACCCTGGCCCCCACCTGGCCCTGCCCTGCCCTGCCCAGAGCACAGGTCCAGACTTGCCCCGGCCTTGTCTCCCTCGGAGTCTAACATCAGACCTGTAGGTGTCTGCAGGCGCAGAGAAATTAGAGAGGTAGCGGCAGCTGCCAGGTGAAAACTTGGATATGTGTCGCCTCAGGACACAGTTCAAGCGCAGAATCAGCTCTGAAATTCCACTCATAACGTCACATCGGAGGCATTTGGATGAAGTGGAAGATTAAAGCTATGGTCTGCAATTTTGAAAACACGAAACAAAGCAGCACAGGACGTTCTGAAACAGTGGCAGGGATATTTTAGGAAAAAATACAGTGGCTCACTATTATCTCCTCTCTTTGGCTACTTTTGGGCTTGGCTATTGTTTGGTTATCTCTTAGTGATTTCCTGGCTAATTTCTTGCTAACTTTTTAGCCATTTCCAGACACACGTTTAGGGTTCCTTTGCGCTCTTCTAATCTTTATGTTAGTGTTTTTTTGGTGTGACATTTGAGTTTACTACATTCTTGTACATTCTCGTGTTTTATTGATGACTCAACAGTTAGCTTTAGCTACTTAAAGCTTGAATTTAAAGGATAATTTCTTTCACTAACATTTTCGCTCTCTCTTGGTTACCACTTTTGTGGTCACTGTAAACATTCTCTGCTAACCGCTATCTTTACATTTATCCTTAACTTTTGGAGTAACTGTTTCAAATGGACTTTTAACTCTTTAAGGCTAACTATAAGTTACCCTTTGGTCTATTTTGTGCCCGTCTCCTCTGACTTTGCCCTCTTTACTTCTTCTTTTGTGTCAGGTGTGTGTTGTTCCCTGTTGTTCTGGACAGCAGAGGGTGTGTTTGTCTAAAGGAGACAGGAATGCTGTGAATTCATTGTTGACACACGTGCATGCTCACACGTACACGTGCACCAAGACAAATCTCACACTGGAGCCTCACACTTTTGAGTTTTACCTTCAGTCTGACACAGAAAAGGTCAATGGTTGTGTCAAAGATGTTTGGGGATAACTCTTTGCTGCTTTTTCTTCTTATAATGTTTAATTTGTATTTACTGTTTTGGCTTAATTCCAAACACACACGCACACACACGCACATGCACCTTGCCCAGATCATTATCCTCAGATCAGACCAAAGGCTTAGCTGCATTCCAACTGGCACAGTGACCTGAGAATAACTGAGACCACCTAAAACTCACACACATGGTGGCAGCTCATACTCTGGTACAATCAGAGAGTTTGTTGCTGCTGTATTTACTGTATGTAAGTTATCATTGATGTGATCTGATACACAGCAGGAGCAGTAGAAAGGAGGAGTGGCTGGTGGAGAAGGTGAGAGAAGGTATATGATGGAGGACTTCATACTCAATGAACATGGAGTCAACAGGGACTTTGGTAAGTGACCACCGGAGGCAGCAGAGGCAGCACTGTGTTTCTCTATGGACTTTGGTCTGTGAGCTGAAATCACTGATTTTCTCTATGGACTTTGGTCTGTGAGCTGAAATCACTGATTTTCTCTATGGACTTTGGTCTGTGAGCTAAAATCACTGATTTTCTCTATGGACTTTGGTCTGTGAGCTAAAATCACAGATTTTCTCTATGGACTTTGGTGTAGGAGAGAGTGGTTTACAACCTTGATTTTTTTTTATTGTTCATCTGAATGTGTGTTGTGTGATAGTGTGTAACCAAGTGTACTTCTGTGTGTGTAGCCCTGGGCTAAGAGACAAGTCCACCTCCACACATCTTCACCTCCTCCTGGTCATCCCTCCTCTGTTTTCCTGACCTCTTCTTTTACACAACAACTTCCTTTCTTTCCTTTTTTTCTTTTTTCCTTCTTTCAGAGAAGAGAACATTCCCAGACACACAGATGAATACACCAACGGAACACGTTCTTCTTTCATAAACTGAGTATTGTAGAAAAATGAAGAATTGGGAAATGTTCTGTCAGCTGGAACTGTTGTTGAACTGCACTCCTGCCTTGACAGAACTAGGAACCATGTATTTGTTTTCTAGTCACCTACCAGGGACTGTATTAAGTTCTAAAACAGTTCCTGTTCTGGAGGTAGGACTGTTTTTACTGGTCTTTGACCACAGTGGAAACACAGTCGGACACGGTTCCTGAGTAAGAGTTCCTGGTACAAAACAGTTCTGCTAGAATGTCATTAAAAGCAAAAACACAGTTTATTGATGAAACACACACTCTCTGCCTCTCTCACTGCCTCTCTCCCTCTCTCTCTCTCAGTCACACGCTCACATGGACTTGTGTGGGAGTTCATCTGTTCTTCTCCTCTTCATTCTCTCTCTTTTATTTCCTCATTATTTCTAATAGTCTCTCTCTCAGTCTCAGCCACATGTTTCTGTCATCACACGATGGAGGAAGTAGGGCTTTCCTCAAAGACCACAGGGGAGTGTTTGTCCGTGTGTGTGTGTGTTTGAGGTTACAGAAACCTTTAATACCCACACAGTCAGAACACAGTTGGTTTTTTTTTACATCTACTCTGAAAGAAACAATAATAATGATTAATAACGGTCTGTGGTAATAGAACATTTTAAATCTAAACAATTTAAAAATATTACAGACAACATTTTTTAGGGATATCAGACAGACTATAGCAACAGGTGTGTGACAGTTGTAAACTACTCACTCTGCCTCACCAATGTCCATGGAAAAAAAAATCTCTGTTTTATTATTCAAATACCTTATAGTTTTCAGAACAACTTTTTAGCTTATTATAAAGCGTGTGTGTTTTTTTTGTTTTCCTGATGAGTTTAATTATTTTTTTGTTATTGGTTGAATGTCGTTTTTCTTTTATTAAAAAACACTATGTAGAAAAACATTAGACAAATCATCAAGCTCTGGTCCACAGACCCATCACTGACGCACATCTAAAACCTCACCCTCACTGAAACATCTCCTCTCATCTGGAAGAGGTTTGAAGGAATCACAGCTTCAGCCTTTAGGTGTTTGACCTTTCACCCTGGCACTTCAGGAGTTTGTGACTTTAGTACAAATCCTCTGGTGTGTGGGTGCGTTTGTGTGAGAAATAAAACATGAGACAGAAAAAGGGTTTGACCTTCTAAAACCTGGTGACAAACACACACAGAGAGAGGAGTCAATAATGAAGTTTCTAATAAACACCAGCTGTTTACTCTGCCTTTAGCACTGAAGAGGAGCAGAGGGAGCAGGGTTTTGGATAGGAGGGGGAGGAGAAGGGTGGAGGGTTAGGGGAGGTGGACAAAGAACTAGTAATAGTTAAAGTTGACCAGAGACACAGTTCACTGTTGTTACTTCTGTCTTCTAACCTTATTTGTCCTGTTTAGTTTTAATGTGTCTGTGCAACAAGAGTTACTGATGAATTTTTAATGTTAACACATTTCAAACATGGCTGATTGGTCACTAATCACATCTTTCTATTTGAGCCTATTACAATAAAGACGTTAGCTTGACTGATGATCTGTAAGTATCATATTAGAACACAGGGTAACTGATTTAAAGTCAGAAACATGAAAGTGCAGTTGTGATCTATTCATCATCATATTTATCAGCAAAATGCCATAATCGGGAATCTTTTTTTTTTTTTTAACCAATATCGTCCAACACTATTATTCCCAGGATCTCAGTTTCTGTGCTCACTGTTGCAGTTAGTGAGCGTTCCTGGTACTAAAAGCACATGGTATTAAGTGCACGTGGTGGCTTAAAACATACAGTAACTCATGCACCTGTGATGTTATGAGCTGATTTTCTTTGTGCATGAAGTGAAATAAAGTAAAAAGAAAAGAGAAAGAAAATAAAGTTCTAGTTAAAAGTGAAGAAGAAAAAAAAAGAAAAAATTTGAGCTTTAACTCATGGAGATGAGATAAGATGTATATCATAGGATGTTATGACTTCACACACGCACACACACGTACTTGCAAGCACACACACAGAGAAATCAGTTCATGCATAAAAATCTCAAACCCAAAGGTTGGATAAGAAGTGACTTTTAAAGATACTAAAGGTTTATGTCTATAAATAGAAATATTAACATCTGTCTTTAAATAATTGTTATATATTTGAATCTTCCTATACAGTATGTACATGTATCTATGCATTAGTCATAATGTCTTTCTACTTTGTATCCACCAGGGGGTGTAAAGAGTATGAGTAAAACGTTTGAAGAAAAAAATACCAAACTCAATAGACATATTTTTTCAGTAAAACGTTTGAAGAAAAAAATACCATTCTGTCTTTCATGCCACAGCAATAATAAATTAAACCAGCAGGGGCAGCAGTGAGGTACATTAAACAGAAATGTAAAATATTAGTCTAAACAAATCATGATTTTCTAGCCTTTTTGAACGCGATCATGTCAACCGGTATCAGTATTTACGATGTGATTACTCTATTAGTGTAAAGTTATTAATGACCAGCATGAGGCGATATTCTGTTTGTATGTACTACACAAAGTAGTAAATTAAAGAATAATAAATAAAAGGTTTGGTCATTGTTTTAAATTGACCAAAATGCAATAAAAGTATGCAGCAACGTGACATCATATGATCAGCAGGGGGCACTACTGAGTTGTATTTTAGGAAAACGTGAACGTCTACCATTGTCTTTGTGCTAATGCTCACGTCAAAGTTATTTCACTGCTATTTTATAGCAGTTTAACCTTTTGAAAGTTCAATGTAAAGAAATTAAAGCTGACTGTCCAAACGAGTGCAGTGAAATAGCAGTTCACTTCTGAACCATGACTGACCACGCCCCCTTGCTACTAGAGGGGCGTGGTATTAAAACATACATGAATAATTAATGAGGCGATGAATATTCATCTGTGCTAGAATATGACATGAGGAGAAAAATAACAGTTCAACACACATTCACGCTGAAGTAAGTCTTAGAGAACATCGGCTGGAGCGTGCACACGCACACGCACGTCAACCCATCACCGGGTTCCCCTCTACAGAACCACAGTGTAAAAGAGTCCGTTTCTGTTGTCTGTCACAGCTGGAAGATGCTGTCACTGTTGTAGCGTGTGCGCGTCACACGTGCGTGTGCACGGTGGCGGTGCAGAGACGTTTGGATGATAAAAGTGAGCGGAGACCAGCAGTAGCATGTTCTTGATACAGATGATTCTGTCCCTCATGAAGCGAACGAGCCTATCACACGAGTGAGTGCGCGTGCGCTCGTGCACGGGCTGTGCAAGAATGTAAAAAGCAGAGAACGTGAATAAAGTAGGAAAACATAAGGCGTTTTTTCCCCTTGTTATTTATTAGTGCACCTGACCTGAAACCGTGCGTGAGACGGAGTACAGAGAGGCTCGGCTTCTACAGCGGCTCCTCGGACTCACAGCACTTTTACCGCCGCTGCCCTGAATCAGTCTCTATAGTTCTTGTTCGTCTCTGTTGTCTCCAAATGTGTGGTAAAAGTTGCTGAGAGAGTCGACGCACTTACCGCAGAGTCCGTGAGCCGCAGCGCGACGCTGAGTGTGAGGGCGAAGAGCAGGGGAACAGCCGAACTCTTCATGATTGTGCCGCGACGGTGGAGACACCGAGGATCCGCCGCTGCCTCTTCTGCGATAGCGCGTTAACTTTCAGCAACGTGTGCGCGTCTCTAGGCGCGCGTCTCTAGGCGCGCGTCATGACCCTGCGGTGTTTCTGGGTCTCCTTCCTTGACTGACTCTTGTCAGCAGTTCGACAACACTCTGGTAAAGACTTGCTTCACTTCAGCGGTACAGCTTTTACGCGCACACGTCCGGCTCCTGCTCCTGCTCCTCCTCTGCGCTCCTGCTCCTGCTCTGGCACGGTGCGCTTCTGTGCTCTCTCCCTTTCTCTCTCTCTCTCTCTCTCTCTAACTTTGTCTGCACTCCACTTTGCAAACCTGCCCAGACGGATCTACTTTCCCCCCTCAGTGATTTCTGCCCCCCTCCTCCCTCGTCATTTCACGGCTCGGTGTAGGTCTGTCCTTGTCCCAGTTTTATTTCCAGGACTTCACATTAATCCCAATAGTCCTGACTTCCATCATCTGGAATTATGAATTAATATCAAAGTTTGCAGACTGATTCTAGACCCCCACACTAGCGGAGGGATACCTCGCAGCCCCCCTCGTTCTCTGTCCTGTCCAATCCTTACCCAGGAGCCCGCGGCTGTGCACGCGCACACGCACGGCAGAGAGAAAGGTTTGGCATAAACGCTTTTGATTTGACATTTTTTGGACTATAGGCCCGGACATGTTGCATTCCGGCCAGATTGTTGACGGTTAAACCCATACGACGACC